TGTAATGCCTTGGACATGTCACTATACGGTACTGCGCTAAATCAATGTCACACTTACAGCATGTGCCAGCAGCTTACAAAGCAAACAATGTACTGCAACCAAATGTCATGTATCAAAGTGTGAGAAAGTAGTTCAGTCTAATCAAAGGCGACTGCCACAGAAGAGACAAGCTCCACTTGAGTGACTTGAGGTCTTTCAAGAAGCAAGGACAATATCAGGCACTGGCACAGTCCAGACTAAAGACATTAGAAAATATGTTTTCTTAATGAATTTTTTAAAAATCACACACCTCTCTGGAGCAGGCACATCTTAAACCCAGGCCTCAGTTCAGGTGTAGGGACACTACCATTCTCAGAGGGCCCCTAAAAGACTTCTGCATAGAATCTGCATGTAAAACACACGCAATGACCAACTGTGTGGGATAACAATCAAAGGCACAAGCAATCTCAACCATGTCACTGGTCATTACAAACTGGCCTTTATCATCTTCATGAAGGAGACGTAATCATAGAAGACCTTGAATGTAATGCCTGTAGGCCATATAATCACAAAGACAATTAAAGGTCTCTCAGGATGCACAAAGTCATGAAGTGAAGTGAACCTTGTATACTAAGTTATTGCCAACATGCTCTCATATACGATGCTGCTTTCCTTGGCTGATTGAGGGGAGTGGGCTGGGCTTGGGGGACAAAGTTTCAGTAATCCTACTGCACTTAATCCTACCGTATTTGTGTGGCATATATCAAAATTCAGACTAACTGTGTCAAGAAGTTTCATGTAGAGGCATTCCATGGCCCTCCTTTTTGGAGGCTATGTTCAACTAGGGACAAGTGGGGACTTTGAGGTGTTATTTGTTTGTGACATGAATGCCGACTGTTCACATTACTAAGGGCCTGTTTACATATTCCACAAAGGTTAATTGGTACAATAAGCCCTTCTGTGGGTGGAACCATTGGTTATCATCACTGCTGTTTCATTAGACTGTGGCCACAAAGAAATTGAGGAACAACTGCGCCAGAAAGCCCAGGACCAGCAATCTCCAGTGGCTGCCAAACAGTCTCAACATGAAGTCACAGTTGAAGGTCTCCATCAGGAGATCCTCCGTCTACATCCTCAATGTCATTTCCAATAGATGAGTAAGGTGCATTGCTGTCACAGATGGAGGATGGGCCAGGACACATTAATGTAACTGTGCCATTTGCTGAAGTGAGACTTGTGACCTGAAAGGTTGGATATGCACCCTACCCCAGTGGCCAAGGTAAGAGCAGTTGTAGTTTTTTTTAAAAAAGAAAAGGCAGATGGCTACTTCCAAGGCTTCAGTGGAAACCTGTATGGGATCTCAATCCTCAACCCACAAATATATCAAGGGTGTTAGGAATGCCCATTGCAACATCTAGTTTCCCCATGGCAGGGTCAGTAGTATTGCCTAAGCTTTGCCAATCCGCTGGCTCACCACAGGTGCAGAGCACTATCAATACGATACTATGTATACACGTTGCTTTGAGCATTGCCAACGCACACTGCAACGACGATCAGTACCACATCTTAAAAGTCTACATCAGGTACCATAGGAGCTGCTATGGCACCTACATCCCTGAACACCCATTGTCCTGCTTTACATATCAATAGTTACTACTGTGTGAGCTATCCACCGCAATGACTGACAACTCCATGACAACCCCCAGACAGGCACAGGGTAGGTACAATGCTGCCCGTTCTTCAACCAGGGTCACTATGGAGCAGACAGTAGGTATCCTGAAGAGGAGATTCTGATGCTTGTATCATTTTGGGCGGGGCACTGCAATACTGTGGAGAGTGCACAGCATGATCCTTGCCTGCTGCATTCTGCACAATCTGAACAGGCAAAGAGGGGATGCGATCAGTGCTAAAAAGTTCGCAGAGCAGCAGCATTCTTCTTGGGAGGAAGAGGATGACCTTGATAAGGGAAGTATAACATTTCAGCATGAGAGTAGTGCAGTTTCAGACAGGACTTAATTGATACCTGCTTTTAGCCAATCTGAACTGGGCAAACTGATCATATTGACTGAATTTTTAAACTTAAAAGGCAAACAGCTTCTTTTTTTCCCACTCTTCTTTTTGTTCCATAAGAAAAAAGTTTTACGATCTGGGTGATCCAACATTTTGAACAATGACAAAACGTTATGCTATTCTAGGCAAAGAGTCACACTCACTTAATGTTCTAACACTGTATGGTGCTAAGCATGGCTAGCCTGTGTAGCTTCATTCTTGTAGCTGTGATAGTCAATTAGAAAGGAGATGCAAAGTAGCACACAAATTATAAATGTGAGCTTCTATTTCAAATGAAGTGTCACCTATGTCCCTTCAGAAGCTATGTGTTTTCATTTTCCTGTGGACTGCAAAGTTATTCATGGCTGATAGTGCATAATCAAGTGCACAGCTGGGCTTTAAATATGGCACCACGTGGCAGAAATCCAAGAAGGGTTCCACTAGTGGCAAGTGCAGTGCAAGATAGCTCAAGTGTAGAGCCATAACGGCAGAGTGCATACGTAATGACGCCAGCAGCAGAGAACTGCATGGAACAGCTTACTCAAAGAAACCCTTTGAGTGGGAATATGAATTTAAAAACTGAAAAGGACTTCTGCCTCTCTGAACAGATACAAAGGACACTGAAATAAAAAGGATGCAGCAAACTACAAAAGGCATCCACTCAACACCATCAGGCATTAGGCTGCTTCTGGACATCATGAATCAACTTTAGTCCCGTCAACGTGATGGTAGCTAACCTATCAGCTAGTTTAGAACTGGCTGATCTGCCCTTTTTTAAAAAAGAGCAGCATTTCTGAAGTTCTGCAAAAGCATATCAAAATCAACTAATCTGCAAATTATCAGAATTTCAAGATCAGGAAGTCTTTTCTGGAATTTCTGCTGAAATGTTGTGACAAACATGAACTAACATCACAGATCAATTGATACTTGATGCCTAAAAACCAAGAGCTCATAGTTAAAGATTTAGAAAGGAAGATTAATAATCCCAATCCAGGACAGCAGCAGAGATTTGTGAAAGCTACAAAAAGACTTCTCTTGTGAAGTAAGAGAATGATGGTAATAAGTATGGTTCATGAATAAAACAAAGAACTACAGACTCTGGAGATGTGAAACAAAAACAAAGTGCTCAAGTAACTGAGCATGCCTGACAGAAACAGAGCCCCTGTCTGATGTGAAAGGCTTGGTCTGGGCAAGAATGCAATCCCAGATGTCGCCCATTTTGAAGGACTGTAGCTTCCCCCTCAGGTGATCCAAAATGCCTTCATCTGCATCTCTTATTTCCCGCACTTCTGCCTTCACAACCCCTACGCCCACGACAAAAATAAAGACAGAATCCCGCTTGACCTCACACCACCCCACCAACCTCCACATCCAATGTATCATTCTTCGCCACCTATAATCTGACCCCACAACTAAAGAGATATTTTCCTCCCCACCCATATCTGTCTTTCATAGGGACCGTTCTCTCCACGACTCCCTTGTATGCTCCACATTCCCCACTAACCCCACCACACCCAGCACCCTTCACCACAACCACAGGAAGTGCTACACATGCGCCCTCACCTCCATCCAAGGCCCAAAATAAACCTTTCATATCAGACATGGGTTCATCTGCACATCCATCAACTTGGTCAACTGTATCTGCTGCTCCTGTTGTGGCCACCTCTACATCAGTGAGACCAAGCGTAGACTCAGAGCGTTTCGTACAGCATCTGCACTCTGTATGCGACAAACGACACCACCTTATGGTCACCAACCATTTTAACTCCCACTCCCTGGGTGACATGTCCATCCTGGGCCTCCTCCAGGTGTCAAAACACCACCCACAAATTGGAGGAGCAACACCTCATATTCCATCTTGCAAGCCTACAGCCCGATAGCCTAAACATGGAATTCACTAGCTTTAAAATCTCCCCATTCCATGTCCAACCCTCCCTCTCATCCCCACCTCCTTCACCATATGCAGTTTGTCCACCTTCTCTCCCACCTATCTGCCCCACCCACCCAATGACCAATCCCCACCACTCATCTATCACCATCCCACCTACTTTCCCCAGCCCCACCCCTCCTCCCTCTATTTATTTCTGAGCTCCCTTCCCCATTTCTGAAGAAGGGTCCCAACCCAAAGCATCAACTTTCCTGCTCCTCTAATGCTGCCTGGCCTGCTGTGTTCCTCCAGCTCCATATTGTATTGTCTCTGACTCCAGCACCTGAAGTTCTTGCTATCTCTGACAGAAACAGTGTGTGTGTTTGGTCCTGAGAGTCTGTCAGAAGACCCCACTATCAGAAATATGCAGCTCAAACATTCATTATACATGAAGGCACATTCTTGACTTTAAGACAAAAAATTCCTAAACCAAAATGAGAGATCCAGAACCTAACTCTGCAACACTTAGTTCAACAAAATATTTTTTTAAAAATTCTCAAAAGGATGGATGCACCAGATACATCTGTCCAACTCAGTCGATGTTTATGCATCTTTGTATAGGAAATGACTCCAGCACCTTAATCAAAACTGACGTGGAATCTGACATCCATTGAAAAGTAAAACACAATGCAGGTCTTTTCTCTAAAGCCCCGAAGGAAAGCCCTAAACAATCGATAGAACAGACGGATGCCAGCCGCTTTAAATAAGCAGCATTTACGGAAGAAAGAAAAAGGAAACAAGGGAGAACTAGGATAGGCGCTCCAGACATTTCTCAAATCAGGTTCATTACGCTTAAGTTTCCAGCTGAGCGAAGGGCGACGGGGGAGGGCACGATTTTTTTTCGGTGAGGCCAGTGCGGTCAGATCGGGGGCTCATTAAGGCGGCTTCCTGGTTCAAACTATTCTAGGAGTAACAGGGCCTTTCAGTCACAGCTAAGATCGCAGCCTCGGGGCCTGACTGAAAGGCCCGGATGCTCCTGCCGCAAGCCAGCCTTTTGGTGACGACAGCCCGCGGCTCGATCTCCAGGCCTACGCTGCTCACTCACCACTCTGTTCGCCTAAGAAGACGAGCTTAAACTTGCGCAAAGGATTTCCGAACTCTCCGCCGCCACCGGACATAATGATGCTGCTAAAAACGAAAGGAAGGCGAGCGAAACCGTCCGAACAGCAAGGCAACCGTCACCGCAGCGACAGGTGCGTCACTTCCGACTGACCCGCCCCTGTCCGTCACGTTGCTATGGTGACCAGGCGAGGTCACATGGTAGACAGTTTTGCTGCTGAGGTGGCGTTAAGGATCTACGTGTTTTAAAGGGCAGCAAGGAAGGATTTTTCGTGTGATTGTAATTTTGTGAAGTGTCTTGGGAGGTACTGCATTCATGCAAGTAATCTTTGTTGTGCATGGGGTGAGGAAAATATAAGGGACTGGAGAATGGCCACTCCCATAGAAAGCAAACCCGAGTAGCTAATGTAACTAGGCTGTAATTAACAATGTCCACGCGGTAAACGGAGAAACCTTCTCACCGTATTTCGGTTAATTGGAAGATATTCTACAAAAAAAATCAAGTTCCGCCAAAACTCTGCTGCCCTCTGTCCTTCCAGCCCAGCAAGGACTCCATTTTAAATTTGTGACAAAAGCAAATTCTGTGAATGATCGTAGAATCCCTACAGTGTAGAAACAGACTATTCGACCCATTGAATTCACACTGACTATCTGAAGAGCATGCCTCTGAAACCATCACCCCCACCCCATCCCTGTAACACTGCACTTGCCATGGCTCATCCACCTAGACTACACGTCCCTGGACACTGTGGGCAATTTAGCATGGCCAATCTACCTAGCTTGCTCATCTTTGGATTGTGGGAGGAAACCAGAGCACCTGGATAGAACCCACACAGACAGGAGATAACAAGGTGTGGAGCTGGATGAGCACAGCAGGCCAGGCAGCATCAGAGGAGCAGGAAAGCTGATGTTTCGGGTCTGGACCCTTGCAAATTCCCCACGGTTGCCCAAGATGGGAATGGAACCTAGATCCCTGCCCCATGCCACCCTGTGGTGAATGCTGGAATCTGAAATAAAAACAAAAAATACTAGAAATATTCAGCAGGTGTGGAAACTTATGGGAACAGAGAAAGTGGAACGGGACGTCTGATGTGGAGGAAATCAAGTTCAACACTTCTGGTAGTGACATTTAAACACACAAATGCATTACCATTTTACTTCCTGGTTTTAAATTGTTTGTGTACTGATGGGCTTGATGAAGGGCCAGATTACAATTTTAACTCCAGCATTTAAAGGAACAATCTGAGAGTAAAAAGCATACAATGTACTGAAGATTCAAAGGAAGCCAGAGGATTGGGAAACCATTCAAAAATCAGCAGGGGACAACTAAAAAAGCAATCAGAGGGTAGAAGATAAAACAAAAGGGTAAGCTAGCTAGTAATATAAAAGAAGATTGCAAGAACTTTTATCAGATAAATAAAGGCAAGAGTGGACATTGGACTGCTGGGAAATGAGGCAGGAGAAGTGGTAATGAGGAACCAAGAAATGGCAGAGGAACTGAATAGGTACTTAGCATCAATCTTCACAGTGGAAAACCAATAACAGACCAGAACTTCAGGAATGTAAGTGGGCAGATGTGAGTGTAGTGTACAACACTAAAGTGGGGAAGCTGAAAGGTCTGAAGGTGGACAAATAACCTGGACCAGATGGACCACACCCTGGAGTTCTGAAGGAGATGTCTAAGGAGATTGTGGTGGCATTGGTGGTAATCTTTCAGGGATCACTGGAGTCAGGGATGGCTCCCAGATGACTTGAGACAGAGGAAAATGTTTAATATAACAGTTAAGAAGGCAGAAGATGGGAAACTATAGCTTGGTAAGCCTGACCTTGGTCATTGGTAAGATTGTAGAGCCCATTGTTAAGGATGTGATTGTGGAGTACTTTGAAGTACTTGGTAAAATAGGGCTGAGTCAACATGACTTCATCAAGTGCAGCTCATGCTTGATAAATTTTTTAGAATTTTTTGAGGAGGTAACAAGCAAGTTAGACAAGCAGAGCCAGTGGATATGATCGATTTGGATTTCCAGAAGGGTTTTGACAAGGTGCTGCACCAGGAGGCTGTGGAATAAGACAAGAGCCAAGGTATTAGCATGGGTAGAGGATTGACTGTTTGGCAGAAGGCAGAGAGTAGGGGTAGAGGGGTCTTTTCAGGGTGGTAGCCTTTGACTAGTGGCGTTCCACAGAGGTCAATGTTCGGACGCAACTGTTAATGTTAAACATTAACGATCCTGATGAAGGGACTGAGGGCATTGTTGCGAAGTTTGCAGATGACACAAAGATAAGTAGAGCAACAGGTAGTGTTGAGGAAACAGGGAGGCTGCAGAAGAATTTGGATGGGCTAGGAGAATTGGCAATGAAGTGCAGATGATGAATTCTTTGAAGAATGATGGAATACAATGTAGGAAAGTGTGAGTTTATGTAGTATGGTAGGAAGAATAGAAGCATAAACTATTTTATAACTGGAGAAACGCTTCTGAAATCTGAAACACAAAGGGACTTGAGAGTCCTAGTTCAGGATTCTGTTAACGTGCAGGTTCATTTGGCAGTTAGGAAGGCAAATGCAATATTTGCATTCATTTCAAGAGGGTCAGGGATGTGCTGCTGAGACTGTATAAAGCTCTGGTCAGATTGTGTTTGGAATATTGAGAACAGTTTTGGGCCTGTATTTAAGGAAGGATGTGCTGGCATTGGAGGGGGTCAAGAGGAGGTTTACGAGAATGATTCCAGAGATGAAGGTCTTGCCATGTGAGGAGTGGTTGAGGATGTGGGCCTGTACTTGGAATTTAAAAGACTGGGGGGAATTTCATTGGAATTACAGAATACTGAGAGGCCTGAATAGGTTGGAAATGGAGAAGTCGTTTCCAGTAGTAGGAGAGACTACAGAATTAGATTTTAGAGAATTAGATTTTATTGTCACATGTACTCAAGTACAGGGATACAGGAGTATAGTGAAAAGTGTACAATGCTGCCATACCTAATTCCATCTTAGGTACAAAGGTACCTAGGTACAAAATCTTAGGCACAATGTAGAAAAATAAGGAAATATTGTTAAAAATTCAACATTAAAGTCATTCTTAGTATAAAGTAGAAAATTAAAGAAATAAAGTCAAAAGTTCAACATTGCAGTCATTCTTAAGTGCTTAGCTATGCTGGACTCACACTGCCCAAAAGAGTTCGATCTCTTCTGCACTCAACACTGTTGCAAATGCTGGGAGACATCGGGTCGCCTGCTCTTGTCACTGCAGTTGTCGGGAGACCTTAGGCTGCCTGCTCTCGCTGCTGCCGCAGATGCCCGGGGACCTCTACTGCTTCTGAACTGGGCTCAATCTCGCCATGCTGGGCTCGCTCTCTCACTGTCCCGAATGCTGCCTTGCTGTCCTGCACTTTGGGTTCGCTCTCCACCACGGTCTTTCACTGTGCCCCGTGCTGGCTCGATCTCTCTGTAGAAGGTGAGTAGATTAAGAAAAAAAAACTGTGAAGGAAGGAAAAAAAGTAAAAGTGGACAGAGCAGATGGGCTCCGGGCAGGAGTAGCATGAGCTATTCTTCCACCATCTTGGAAAAAGTGCCCAAGGACACAGTGTCAGAATGAAGGTATGACTCTTTAAAACTGAGATGAGTAGGATTCTTCAGCCAGAGACTGCTCAATCTGTAGAACTCATTGCCACAGAATAAAATTGTGGAGACCAAGTCATTGAGTGTATGTAAAACAGAGATGGATACAGTCTTGATTAGTAAGGGGATCAAAGGTTACAGGGAGAAGGCAGGAGAATGGAGTTAAACAACAGATCAGCCATGAGTGAATGGTGGAACAGACTCAATAGGCTTAATGGCCTACTTGTTCTCCTATATCATGATCTTACAAAATCAAGTTAGGAGCTGGGCACAAGAGAAGAAGATGGCTGACAGAATGCTGAGTCAAAGAGTGATGCTGTAACATCAGGTGCCTCACCTGACAAAGGAGCCCCGCTCCAAAACCTTGTGATTTCAAATAAACCTGTTGATTTATAACCTGGTGTCGTGTGCCTTCTGATTTGTCCACCCCAGTCCAACGCCGGCACCTCCACATCTGGCGGATAAGGTCAAAGGTTCAAAAATTGCAAAATGTCAAAACTGAAAGGCTCTGCACCTGAATACACATGCTATTTGTAATGAAACGATAAAATGTCAACACATATTGAAAAAATATACAAATATAGAAATAAGTATGTATTATATGTTGCCGTCACAGAGATATGTCTGCAAGCTGACAAAGACTTGGACCTAAATGTTCAAGGGTATATGCCATTTAGGAAAGAAGATAGCCGGGAAAAGGTGGAGGGGTAGTTCTATTAATTACGGATGACATTTTACAATAGAGCAAGGTGAACTTAGTTCTGGAGATCAAGATGTAGAATCAGATTTGGTAGAGATGAGAAATTTTGAAGGTAAGTACTCACTTGTGGGAGTGATGAAGAGGCCTCAAGGTAACTATGCTTTAGAATGTGGTTTACAGGAAGAAATAATAGGACTTGTGAGAAAGTTACAGTGATAACCATGAATTATTTTAATCTAATCAGATAGATTGGATGAATCTGATTGGAAAACGCCTAAACCATGATTTCCTGGAGTGTTTTCAGGAAAGTTTCTAAGAGCAGCATGTTGTAGAGCCATCCAGAGAGCTGGCTGTATTAAATTTGATAATATGCAATGAGACAGGAGTAATAAATTACATCATAGTGAAGTCATCATTAGCGGTGATCATAATATGATTGAATACCACATTCAGTTTGAGGGAACGTAAGAACAAAGGTAGGCTATTGAGCCCATCATAAGGAATGGATCTAAGATCACTGTTTTGAACTTATACATGACTAATTATAAGGGCACAAAAACAGTTGGTTAAAGTGAACTGGAAAGTGATGGGACAGATCAGTTGAGATGCGGTGGTAGAAATTTAAGGAGATACTTTAGAAAAGTAGGAATAGGCACATTTCGGTAAGAAAATAGGTATGAAATGTAAAAACAGTTTTAGGCAGGTACTGAAAAGGAGTATGTTAAATGAGTGTTGGTTCCCTATAGAAGGAGTCTGGGGAATAATGGAAAATAAGGAAATGGCAAAAGAAGTGAACAGATATTTTGCATCAGTCTTCACTATAATTAAATACAAATGACATGACAGAAATAATTGTGAACTAGTAGGTGACAGGGAGGAACTTAGAACAATTACAATTACCATGTAAAGGGTACTGAAA